GCGATTGATTCCTTCTAGTGTATTTTTCATTTAGTTATTGTATTCTTCAACTCTGGTTGCTCTTTATATTTTCTAACTCTTTGTTAAAAACTTCTTGTAACTTCTCACTCTGTGCATCCATTCTTTTCCTGAGTTATTAGATCATCTTTATGATCATTACTCTGAACTCGTTCTTAGATAGATAGATGGCCTATCTATCTCCATGTCACTTAGTTGTTGTTCTGGGTTTTTATCTTGTTCCTTCATCTGGAGCATATTCCTCTTCTGTCTCATTTTGTCTAAATTTTTATATATGTGGAAAGTTAGTTATATTTCTCGACCTTGGAGAAGTGGCCCTCTGTAGGGGATGTCCTATGTGTCCCAGCAGTACACTCCCCTCTCATCACCTAAGCACCAGGGACCAGCTGGTCCCAGGGTAGGTTCTGACCAGTGTGTGCAGACTCAGTTCCACAGGCTGTGGGATTGTAGTTTTCTTGCTTCTGGTGTCTGCCTCCTGGTGGGTGAGGCTGGTCTAGAGACCTGTGCAGGCTTTCCAGTGGGAGGTGCCAGCACCTGCCCACTGGTCAGTGGAGCTATGTCTTGGCCCTCTGGTGGGCAGGGCCATGTCTAAGGGTGTGTCTAGAGGTGGCTGAGGAAATCTTTAGGGAGCCTGTCTCTTGATAGGTGGGGCTGTGTTCCTGCCCTATTCATTGTTTGGCCTAAGATGGCCCAGCACTAGAGCCTACAGGCTGTTGGGTAGGGCCAGGTCTTGGTGCGGATGAACCAAGCAAGATGTCAGCCTGCAGATGAGTACTCCTGGATATGTTCACCACCAGCCTTTATGTCCCAGAGAAAGCCACCACCCCCTCTCCACAAAACCAGCAGGTAGATGTGGCCCAGGCTTCTGTGAAGTCACTGCTTTTGCCCTGGGTCCCAGTGCACATGAGACCTTCTCTGTGCCCTGTAAGAGTGGAGTCTCTGTTTCTTCCAGTCCTGTGGAGCTCCTACAATCAATCAAACCGTGCTGGCCTGCAAAGCCAAATGTTCTGGGGGGTTCCTCCTTCTGATGCCAGACCCCCATGCCTGGGAGGCTGACATGGGGCTGAGAACTCTCACTCCCATGGGAGAACGTCTGCAGTATAATTATTCTCCAGTTTGTGGGTTGCCCACTGTGGGGTATGGGGTTTGATTATATTGCAAGTGCACTTTTCTTACAATCTCACTGTGGTTTCTTCTTTGTCTTTGGATGTAGAATATCTTTTTTGGTAGGTTCCAGTCTTTTTTTATCGATGGTTGTTCATCAGTTGTGATTTCTGATGGAAGGAGGTGAGGTCAAGGTCCTTTTCCTTAAGAGCCAGGCCACCTCCACAGGTGTTGAAAGAGGGCAGTGAGCTGGAGTGCTGCAACACGGCCCAGGTTAGAAGCAGGCAGCATGGGGTGACTGCTGTTCCACTGTGAAGCACGTGGTCAGGGTCTGGCCTTCTCTCCAGAGCAGCAGGTACAGGTCTCAGAAGGTCTTTTTAAATTTCTTGAAGAAAATCCATTCTGTTTTGCCTAGTGGCTGTACCAATTTATAGTCCCACCAAGGGTATACAAGGTTTCCCTTCCTCTGTGCATCCTTACTGATGCTTGCTATCTCTTCTCTTTTCAGTGACAGCTATTCTGAAAGGCATGAGGTGACATCTCATTTTGATTTGTGTTTCCCTAATTACTGATGTTGAGCACACTTCTGTGTCCCTGTTGGCCATTTGAATATCTTTTGTCTATTTCAGCTCCTTTGCCCCATTTTTAAACTGTATTATTTGTTCTTTGCTATTGAGTTGTATGTCTCTTATATATTTATTTTGGATATTAACCCCTTATCAGATATGTTTTGCAAATATTCTCTCCAAGTCCATTGGTTGTCTGTCTTTTCATTTTGTTGGTTGGTTGTTTCTTTTTCTGTGTAGAACCCTTTTAATGTGATGTAGTCCCATTTGGTGCTTGTGCTTTAGATGTCATATCCAAAAATCATTGCCAAGATACAGGCGAAATTCTTTGAAAAATGGTGACATAGGAGATCCCAGCTTCCCTATCCTGACACAAAGATTGAGCAATGATTAGACAGCTCCATGAGACCTCTACACTCCACTTACTTATGAAGTTTTAGCAATACCATGGAAAAAAATGCTAAAAATAATCACATGAAGAAAGACAGCTTAATTTTGCCTGTATCATCACGTCCCCTAAGCAAGCCAGCATTGTTCAGCAATGCTGAACTTCCCAACTAGTAAGAGTTCCTCTCACCAGAAAAAGAAAAGTGGGGTGAGCAACTAGCTTTCTAGCCTCTCCCAGCACCATGTGAAGGTCCCGCTTTGGTACCACCTACCCAGAATGTTTGGTACCGCCTACCCAGAATGGCATGAATAGCTAGCTAGGAAAAAGGAAGAAAAGCAGAAGCTATTATCAGCAAACATAGTGGGAGCAATTGCAGTTCACAGAGACTTGGCTCTAAAGACAAATTCAGCACCTTCTGCCACTGAGGAAGTCACCAGCAGCCTGCACAGATCTCACCAGGTACCCCAAAGGTATTTATGTTCACTAATATGCACCTCACATCCTCCCTGAGCATTATGCACCCAGACCCACACTGGTAGCCTTCTAAGCTCTCTGCAGCTGCAGATATGTAAGCTGCCTGTATCCCTCACCAGCCCAGGTTCCTGCAGCTGCACAATGATTGATAGTGTGCCTGGGCTCAGCCATCCAGCTGTGCACCTGCATGCCATCAGCCTGATGCATATCATTGGCTTCCACTGCAGCATACCTGGAAGGTATTTATTATGAAGCCCTGGGTGAACATCCTGACAGCCAGGGACCCCATAGCTACTTATTAGCTACTTATGGGTAGGGATCAAGTCCTGATTTCTACTATTGGCTGGCAATGTCATATAAACTTATAGAGAACCCCTCCAGCTTTGCTCCAGGATGTCCCCAGCCTAACTCTCATCATTGGTTCTTACTACCCAGGGGAAAGAGTATGTGGCCACAGAAGAGTACACTGGCATCCTGTACTCCCACAGCTGCTTGCAGGTCTGGATCAGACTCTGCCTTCTGTCAATGGCCAGCAACACTGTGCCTACTTATAGCTAGCCCTTCAAGCTATGGTCCTGCATGATCCCCAGTGCAGTATGACTACCTAGGGATGGAGTATAAATCCATAGGAGAGCACACTAATACCCAGGTTTTCTGCAGATGCAAAGGAGCCCATAGACGGCCCTTGTTCTTACTTACGGGAGCCAGGGCAGTGTCTACATGTGACCACTGCCACTGCATACGTGCCTGCCCTGGTCCCTAGCTACTGGTCCTGGAGGTGACACTTAGAAGCCCAACAGCCCTTACAGGCACTGTAGTCCCCCTGTGGTGCTCACCAAGAAGTATAACCCTATCAATGCTGTGAACCACAGTGGCCTAAACTGAAGAAACATTAAAACCCCCTTCAGACAGTGCCCCACACTTGTCATCCTGTACCACTTGAGTCATGATCACAGCACAATCCAGTTGTGCTCCCCCTCTACCAGTGAAAGGCTTCCTTTAACAAAACTCATCCATGAAGCCTGGAAGACGTGACTGCTCTTTCAAATGCAGATACCTACAGAAGGTTCTAGGGATCACAAAGAATCAGGGAAACATGTCTCCACCAAGGGAATACAGTAAAACTCCAGTAACTGGCCCCAAAGAAACAGATATCCAGAAATTGGCCAACAAATAATTCAAACTAATTGTTCTACAGATGCTTAGAGGGATATAAGGACACAGAAAAACACTTTAAAGATATTAGGGAAACAATATAAGAACAAAATTAGAAGCTCAACAACGAGGTATTAAACAGAAAAGAACCAAACAGAAATTTTGGACATGAAGAATACAATGACTGAACTGAAGAATTCAATAGATAGCTTAGACTTCAACAAGCAGGAAAGAGAATCAGTAAGCTAGAAAACAAATCAATTGAAATGATACAATTCCAAGAGCAAAAAGAATGAAAAGGAATAAAGAAAGCCTAAAGGGGTTATGAGAGACCACCAAAAGAAATAATGCATGCATTATTGGAGTCCCAAAGAGAGAAAGAATTGGAAAGTTTATCTAAAGAAATAATGGCTGAGAATTCCCAAATATGGGGAGAAATTTGAACATCCAATTTCATGAAACTCATAGGTCACCTCAAAATTTCACTCCAAAATGTTTTTCCTCCAAGACACATAATAATAAAATTGTCTAAAACCAAAAAATGATTTTTAAAGCAGCAATAGAAAAAATATTTGCTCATGTAAGGGAACCCTCATAAAGCTCTGAGATTTTTCAGCAGACACCTATTAGACCAGGAGAGAATGGGATGATATATTTAACGTGCTAAAAGAAAGAAACTGCCAACAAAGAATACCCAGAAAAGTTGTTCCTCAGAATTGAAGATGAGATAAAATCTTTCCATAATAAACAAAAGCTGAGGGAATTCACCATCACTAAGGCTGAATTATAAGAAAGCTAACAGGAGTTCCTCAAGCTGAAACAAAAGGACGCTAATGGGCAAATTAAAAACATACAATGCACTGGTAAAAGTAAGCATATAGCCACGTTCATAATACCCTAATACTGTAACACAGTGATCTGTTAACTACTTAACTCTAGAATAAAATGAAAGAAACAGATTATTAAAACATAGCTATAGCTTCAGTATTCATTAATTAATACACAATATTGTTTTACAAATGTAAAAGGGGAGAGTAAAAAGATAGAATTTTTGTATTCAAAATTAAATTGTGTTCAGCATATGACAGACCAATATATCTATATGATGTTTTATGTAAATCTCATGGGAACCACAAATCTACAATAGATACACAAAGGTAAAGAGAAAGAAATCCAAGTATACAACTATATAGAAAATCATCTAGTTCCAAAGGCAGGCAGCAAGAAAGGAAGAAAAGAAAAATGGAACCACAAATCAAACAGAAAACAATAAGATGACATTAGTAAGTCCTTACCCATTAAATATGGTTCAGAACCCAGTTCCTTCTGAGAAAGAAAAATGGAACTGCAAATCAAACAGAAAACAATAAGATGCGATTAGTAAGTCCTTACTTATTAAAATGGTTCTGAACCCATTTCCAATATGAGTGTGGGGGGTTTTCTCCCCATACCACCAAGCGATGCTTGCAACACTATCTGGGTGTCCTAAAATTTAACTTAATTCTGACACTATCTACCCAGATACAGCATCAGATACCATAATTTAAGGCTTCAGTCCCACAAGATTCTAAGTGTTCCACTGTCCCCAAATCTCCAAATGTTCACCAACCCTGAAGCTCTATGACCCCAGTCCTTTTGGGGTTTTATGGAGGCTTTATTGATTAAATCATTGGATAAAGATTCAACCTCCAGCCCCTCTCCCCTCCCTGAAAATCAGGGTGTGGGACTGAAAGTTCCAACTCTCTTAACCCTGGCAACCAGCCCCCATCCTTAGGTGTTTTCCAGAACTCACCTCATTGATATAAACCCAGTTGTGGCAGAAGAGGCTTCTTATGAATAACAAAACACCCATTTCTCCTTTATGGTTCTGAAGTGATCTCAGAAACCTAGGACAAAAGACCAAATATTATTACAAAAGACGCTCCCATTACAAGCATACCTCAGAGATATTGAAGGTTCAGTTCAGGACCACTGCAATAAAGTGAATATTGCAATAAAGCAGTCACACAAATTTTTTGGTTTCCCAGTGCATATGAAAGTTATGTTTACACTAGCCTGTTTATTAAGTGTGCAATAGCACTGTGTCTAAAAAAAACAATGTACATACTTTAATTAAAACATACTTTGTTGATAAACCATACTTTGTTGATAAACAGTGTTAACCATCATCTGAGACTTCAGTGAATTGTAATATTCGCTGGTGCAGGATTTGAAATATTGGGAGAATTACCCAAATATGTGACACAGAGACACGAAGTGAGCAAATACTGTTGAAAAAAATGGTGCCAATAGATTTGCTTGACACGGGGTTGCCAAAACCCTTCAATTTGTAAAAAAGAAACAAAAAAAAAAAAACCACACAATAAAATGAAGCACAATCAACTGAGGTATGCCTGTACTCTTATCACAGGAAAGTCCAAGGGTTTTGTGAGCTGTGAGCCAAGAAAGGGGATGAAGGCCAAATATCACACCTATCAATAATTACTCTAAATGTTAATAAGTTAAATTTTCCAATCAAAAGGTATAGAGTGGCTGGATAGATAAAACAATAAGACCCAACTATATGTTGCCTACAAAAGCCTCACCTCATCCTTAAGGACAAATACATTCAAAGTGAAGGGATGGCAAAAGATATTCTATGTAAGTGGAAACCAAGAGAGAGCAGGAGTAGCTGTATTTATATCATACAAAACAGAATTTAAGCCAAAAAAATAGTAACAAGAGACAGATAATTATTATGTAATATAAGGGGTTCAATTCAACAAGAACATATAAAAATCATAAATATAAGTATACCCACTATCAGGGCACTTAAAAGTATTAAGCAAGTGCTAACAGATTTGAAAGGAGAAAGAGACAACACAATAAAATAGGGGACTTCAATAGTGCACTTTCAAAACTGAATAGATCATCCAGACAGAAAATCAGTAAGGAATGTTGGACTTAAGTCCATCTGGTCTAATGCATAATTTAACAGATATATACAGACATTCCATCCAACATCAGCAGAATGCACATTCTTCTCAAGTGTACATGAAAAATTCTCCAGGATAGGTCACAAAATAAGTCTTCACTAATTTAACAAGATAAAATCATACCAAGTATCTTTTCGGTAAAAATTGTATGAAACTAGAAATCAATAACAAGAGGGAAGCTGTAAAGTTCACAAATATGTGGAGAATAATCAACATACCACTGAATAACCAATGAGTCAAAGAAGAAATCAAGAGGGAAATAAAAAATTTTGAAACAAATTAAAATGGAAGCACAACATATCAAAACTTATGGGATGCTGCAAATCTGTATTAATATATAACAATAAACACCTACATTACTAAACAAGAAATTTCTCAAATAAAACCCTAACTTTATGCATTAAGGAACTAGAAAAAGAACAAACTAAGCCCGAAGTTAGCAGAAGAAAGGAAATAACAAAGATTGGAGCAGAAATAAATGTAATAGAGACCAGAAAAACAGTAGTAAAGATTTAATGAACCTAAGAGCTGGGTTTTTTTTAAAGATAAACTACGTGGACATTTAGCTAGACTAACTCAGAAAAATGGAGAGAAGGCTCAAATAAATAAAATCAGAAATGAAGAGGAGACATTACAATTGATACCACAGAAATACAAAGGATCGTGAGAGTATCGTGAACAATTATATTTAAACAAACTGGATAACCTAGAAGAAGTTGATAAACTCCTAGAAACATAAAATCTACCGAGATTGAATTGTAAAGAAATAGAGAAGAACCTAAAAAGAACAATATTGACTAAATATATTAAATAAGTTAATCAAAAACTCCCCAAACAGAAAAACTAGAACCAGATGGTTTCATTGGTGAATTCTACCAGAATTAAAAAAGAATTAATGTCAATTATTCTTCAACTCTTCCAAAAAATATTGTAGAGGGAACACTCCCAAACTCATTTTACAAGGCCAGCATTACCCTGGTACCTGATACCAATGTCATATAAGATATTACAAGAAAATTACAGACCAATAGTCCTGATGAATAAATATGGATGCAAAATTTCTCACTGAAATATTAGCACACCGAATTCAACACCAAATTAAAAGGATCATTCACCATGACCAAGCTGGATTTATCTCTGGGATTCAGGGTTAGTTCAACACACACAAATCAATAAATGTGATTCACCACATTAAAAGAATGGAAAGTCATATGATCATCTCAAGAGATGCAAAAAAGCACTTGACAAAGTGCATCATTTCATGATAAGAAATGCTCAACACATTGAGTATAGAAGGTACATACAACAAAATAACCTCAAAAATATAGAGCCATATATGACACAACCACAGCCACCTCATCCTCAATGGTGAAAGGTTGAAAGCTTTTCCTCTAAGATCAGGACAAGACAAGGGCGCCCACTCACAGCAGTCCTATTCAGCATAGTACTATAAATCCTAGCCAGAACAATCATGTAAGAAAAAGATATAAAAGGAATAGAAGTAAAATTGTCTTTGCAGATGATATGATCTTATATATAGAAAATCCTGTTGGTCATTTGTATGTCTATTCAGTTCTGCTGCCCATTTTTTAATAGGTTGTAGGGGGGTTTTTGCTGTTGAGTTCTTCATACTTTAGATATTAACCCCTTATCAGATATATGATGTGCAAATATCTTCTCCCATTCCATAGGTTGTATTTTCATTTTGTTGACTGTTCCTTTTGCTCTGTAAAACTTATTTGATTTAGTGTCACTTATGCATTTGTTGCTTTTGTTGTTTATGCTTTTGCTGTCATTCATATCAAGGGGATTGCTGTTGAGACCAGTGTCAAGGAGATTTTGCCCTATGTTTATTTCTAGGAGTTTTATGATTTCACTTCTTAAATATGTTTAAGTCTTTAATCCATTTGGAGTTAACTTTTGTGAGTGATGTAAGATAGGGCTCTAGTTTCATTACTTTGCATATGAATATCCAGTTTTCCCAGCACTATTTATTGAAGAAACTGTCTTTCCTCTCTTGAGTGTTCTTGACCTCCTTGTCAACTATTAGTTGATATGTATGCATGGATTTATTTCTGAGCTCTCAATTCTGTTCCATTAGTCTATGTGCCTGTCTTTTATGCCAGTACTATACTGTTTTGATTACTATAGATTTATAATATAGTTTGAAGTCAGGAAGTATAATGCCTCCAGTTTTGTTCTTCTCAGGATTGCTCTGGCTATTCCAAGTCTTTCCCAGGTGTTCCTATGACTTCATAAAAATTTTAGAATTGATTTTTTCTACTTCTGTAAAAATTGCTGTTGGAATATTGACAGGGATTGTATTGAATCTATAGCTGGCTTTGGCTACTACAGACATTTTAATGATATTCATTCTTCTGATCCATGAACATGTAATATCTTTCCATTTATTTGTGTCATCTTCAATTTCTTTCATCACTGTCTTATAATTTTCAGTGTAGAGATCTTTCATCACCTTGGTTAGATTTACTACTAAGTATTTTATTGGTTTTGATGCTGTTGTAAATGAGATTCATTTCTTTACTTTTTATATATTTTGCTGTTAGTGTATAGAAATATTATTTAAATCATTGAGGTTGCTGGGAAAGAGAGGAATTTAACCACTAATTATCTTGTATTTCACCAATCCACTGATTATTTACCACTTGCCATAATGATTATTCTGAGAAGAAGCCATTAAAATTATACCTGTATGCTCAACTTTACAAATGTTTCCATGCCAATTTTAGTTAGGTGGAAATTGCTTTGGATTTTAACACTTATTCCCAGTGGATGTTTGTAATTATTTTGCATGTAAATTTGGTACAAGGAGGTAAATGAAGTAAATTCTATCCAGAGGAACAAGACACTGGAGTAGAAGAAATATTTCCCAAATGGATTTGGACTAATAAATGTCAGGAGTGAGTATCAGGAGTAAAAAGGTGCAGCCAAATAGATACCAAATACTCCCTTTCATTTTTATCTTTTTTCCTTCCTTCCTTCTTTTCTTCTACCTTTCCGTATCTTTTTGCCGCCCTCCTTTTCAGATAACATTAGAAGTAGCGTGTTTATTGAAGTAGCACAGGTTTCAAATTCTTCACTTAACTTCCTGACAACAACAAATATAGGAAGATGGGGCCAGTCATATTATTGTTAGAAAGAGAGTAACACAGTTTTCAGTGAAAGCGAAGATATTTGTGACACCAATCTCTAAAACAATTTTGCTTTGTGGGCCTTCATAAAAGAAAAACTGAAGAATATCATGAACAGTTTCCTGAATAACATTCTATGGCTAATACAGTAATGGGTTTTGCATGGCTGCTTCTTACAGTGCCCTTGGATAAAAGCCACATTTTAATATTAAACTGCAATTTAGGAAACATGGTTCTTTCAGTAGGCCAAGTATAAGTTATAATAGTGGACTGCCTTGAAAGAGTATAGATCACAGAAAACACTAACTGACAATGGATGAACCATATATTTCAAATATTTCCTATAAATAGAATATCTCTAAACTAAATGTGTCATAAGAGCAGACAGGTGCATTCTGTGACAAGGCCTGGAGTGCTTATACTTGGACTTACAAAAAGCAAAGTCATGATAGTGAACAAATTGAGAGGTTGATATACTTTTGTAACAATTAAGAAGTCTAGCCAGCATTTTGCCTTAGTTGGAGGCTTAATCACATAATGCCTTGTGACATCTGGCATATAATTGCTTTATTCTGTTATTTAATTTTTCATATGTGAGTATCAAAGGCACAATGAGAAGAAAACTTCCTGGAGGGCACATGCCAAAAATGTTATATATTAAACTCACTCCCAGTTTCTTAGTATTATATAATGTTTGATAAATGATACATGATTAAACCAAAGAAAGAAGCTCCATCCTAGGCAATTAGCTAGGATCAC